GGCATAATTTTCAAAATGTACCGTTATCATCCACGTCATAGTCACGTGCTCCTGCAACCTTTTTCGCCTCGATAATCCCGCCCGAGCCGAGATCTACCATTTCGCTAACAATAGCCTTTGCTCCTCTGTATATATATAAATACACAACCCTAGCACTAATTAGACACTATTCCTGTGCACTCTTGTTCTTCGCTAGAAATTATTTCTCAGTTGTTTTATAGATCTCGCTTTCATAATGGCCAAAATCAAGATCGGAATCAACGGTAGTTTAAGTTGTCATTCAATTCCATTCGCATTATGTTCTAGTTTTGTTCTGTTTTGTGCTATATGTGAGCGAGTTTTTTGAACGTTTGATATGATTAGGATTTGGAAGGATTGGGCGTTTGGTGGCCAGAGTTGCACTTCAAAGCGATGATATTGAACTCGTCGCTGTTAATGATCCATTCATTACCACCGATTACATGGTGATTTTTCTTTATTTACTAATGATATCTGCATTTATGTGATTCGCCGGATCTGCACTTTGCGTGCCACTTTTACAAGTGAAAAATCGGATCGATTTATTTCGCTAGCTTGATTTTAATGTGAAAAGTGCTATCAAATGAGAGATCTCTGGATCCTTTGGTGGATTACAGACTCACCGATTAACAGTTTAGTACTGATTAAAAAAAAAAAAAGAAAGAAAGCACTGGGGCTGTTGCGTGTTAAGATTTGAAATTTCATCTTAAAATATCAACCTTATTAATTGGTCTATGTTTTCATCTTTATTCGGTGTTTGATTTTATCCCTTAACCCGTGTGCTCAATTTTTTTGAGTCTTAATCGGATCGAATTGCTCGTTAGAGTGAATGGGCTCTGATACCATGTTAAGATTTGAAATTCCATCTTAAAATGTCAATCTTATTAAGAAGAGCCGTCCAAACTCACGTAAATTTCTCTATGTTTTTATCTTTATTCGATCTGAGATTTTATCACTTAACATGGCGTTTCATTGTGAATTATTGTGGACGTGTGATTCTGCAGTGCTTCAGTGCATTCCTAGAAGTTTAACAAGTCTCGTGTTATTTGTCTGGGCAAAGTTCACTTTACAGAGATTTTTCCCCTCATTAACTTTTGCATGTTAACAATATTAAATCGGATCCATGTTATTCACTTGATTAACTCATACCAATAATTAAATGCATCTATGTATCTGTGCGCATTTCTGACTTGTAGGTAAAATTAGGATGGTGTTTTCTGCCTCTTCTTTTCTTACTTTTTTTTCTTTTATGCCAATCTAGGATTAGTTTCCTCTGCCTTTATTCTAATTGCTTCTCTTGCTGGATTTTAATGTATGCTGATTTCTGTCTCAATTTTGGTTCTTGTGATATCGTGAACAGACCTACATGTTCAAATATGACAGCGTTCATGGTCAATGGAAAAAGCACGAGATTAAGGTTAAGGATTCTAAGACCCTTCTCTTTGGTGAGAAGCCAGTGACCGTCTTTGGCGTGAGGTATTTCTCAATCACATTGTCTGGGTGATAAATATGTGGCTCCGTTTAGGTTTATTATTAATTTCTGTTTGATGCTCAGGAACCCAGAGGAGATCCCATGGGCTGAAGCTGGAGCTGATTATGTTGTCGAGTCGACAGGAGTCTTTACTGACAAGGACAAAGCTGCCGCCCACTTGAAGGTTTGTATCGAACCATACTTATTGGAACTACTATCCACATTTAGCGAAGTCAAATTCAGGTGTTTTATTTCAATGTTTCATTCTTTCCTCGTTTGTATATTAATGTTGGTTTCAGAAATATGAAACATCCCATACTCGTAGTCCATTGTCCACAGCATATGATTTGCACAGTTTTACAAATTTAGGTTGATAATATATTAATGTTTAATTGATGCTTTTTTGGTTATATCCTTTTATACACAGGGAGGTGCTAAGAAGGTCATCATTTCTGCCCCAAGTAAAGATGCTCCTATGTTTGTTGTTGGTGTCAATGAGAAGGAATACAAGTCAGATGTTGATATTGTCTCGAATGCTAGTTGCACTACCAATTGTCTTGCTCCATTGGCAAAGGTACATTTTCTTCTAAGTTGTCCAGGGTAGCATGGATCATGATAAACTGAAGCCTGATCTTGATATAATGCTACTGTGTGTAACAGGTTCTTCATGACAGGTTTGGTATTGTTGAGGGTCTAATGATAACTGTCCACTCCATTACTGGTAAATAAATGATTTTCTTAGGTGTTTTTGACATAGATGTGAATTGGGATTGATGTTGGTTTATGATTTAGCTACACAGATGACTGTTGATGGTCCGTCTCAGAAGGACTGGAGAGGTGGAAGAGCCGCATCATTCAACATTATTCCCAGCAGTACTGGAGCTGCCAAGGTATTGTGACTTGCAAGATGTGGAATAAAATTGACCTCGCAACCTTAGTATTAATTATGTGGACTGGATAATGATTTCCAAAAAAAAAAAATTAACTTGAAAAATTTTGTGTTCTTTATTTTCTAACTTTAACATTTTCAAATAAACATTTGATAAATGAAATACATGCAGATGTGTATTACATGGATTAGTTTCATGAACCTTTATAGTATTTAGGACTATGTAGCATGCACCTTGATTACAGAATTTCTTTCTGGTCTGCTTGCATTGTTTTCTAATACAATTGAACTCGTAGGCTGTCGGGAAAGTACTTCCTTCCCTAAATGGAAAGCTTACTGGGATGGCTTTCCGTGTCCCAACAGTTGATGTGTCAGTGGTTGATCTAACAGTAAGGCTTGAAAAGTCGGCTTCATATGATGAAATTAAAGCTGCTCTCAAGTAAGGACCAGCACGATTATTTATTTTTTCCATACTTTGTTCTTATGATTATCCAGTCTTCTCTGCATGGTTTTAGTGGACATTCTTTTGTAACCTTATGTTTCCCACTTCAGGGAGGAGTCTGAGGGTAAAATGAAGGGGATCCTTGGATACACAGAAGACGATGTTGTATCAACGGACTTTGTAGGTGATAGCAGGTGAGGATTCTGTAAATATGTACAATGAAGCCCCTGTTTGGTACCTATTCTCATTCTCATTTTTTTCTCTTTCTTCATTTCCACCGCACACTCCCATAAATCACTATTCCAAAAATTTTATTATCCAAAAAATGGGTGTCAAACACCCTCTAATTCTCATAGTAATTTATCCTTCTCATAGGTGGCTGTAGTAAATTCATTCCTTGTGCAGTCTGCCTATCACTCTGTAGATTTATCTGGACTTGTTTCTTATTTTATCTTATATCTTCTGTTACTTATCTTTATTTTCAATCACCTAACTTTCATTTGTAATCTCCTTAATGTGATTTGCATAGGTGAAGCGTGATTCAACTCGTTGCATTTTGCAGGTCAAGCATTTTTGATGCTAAGGCTGGAATTGCTCTCAGCAAGAACTTTGTGAAGGTTGTCTCTTGGTATGACAACGAATGGGGCTACAGGTATGCACAGAATGGCAAAAATTTGGTTGAGATGATCTATATATTGCAGTTACATTATAATTCTCTATTTTGCAGTAACCGTGTTGTTGACTTGATCCGCCACATGGCATCCGTTGCATGAGCTGTCTTGTCCCGGATTACATGTTGATGGGAACGATCCAATTCCTGCTGTTTTCTCTCTTTAATAAAAGAGCTTTTATGAGAAACTTGCTTTTTGTTGTCTTTTTTGGGCGACTTTTCTAAGGGAATAGATCTTGAGTCTATAACTTTATTTTTGTTTGCCGATGAGAATTGTGGTTTTGATATCTTAATTTTGTTGGGATATGTTGTTATGTTAATCTCAATTTTAGCGTTTCTTAATTTTCTGGGGTTGCGATGTTTTGCGAAGCTTTACGAATTTAATTCTAGTAAAATATACTTCAATAATTTTTTTTTAAAGTCAACGTTAGATTCAACAACTATTTTTTCTAATTCCAAGTCGAGGGAAAAAAAAATAAAAAAGAAATTATAGTAATATTCACGACTATGCTGCAAGCCGTAATTATGCAAATTCAATATCGGACAAGAAGAAGAGTTTCTAAGGATCAATTCGAATTTCAATCGTAATTTAATTTACCAATTCATTTTAATAATGCTATTCGTACATAAGATATAAACATAATCATTTTCATTTTTTTTTTATGGCAACAATCAGACCTGACCAAAAAAAGCAAGAAATTCAATGAAAGGAAAAACAAAAATATTTTTTTTCCTTTCTATCTTCACATATATTTTCTTTCCATGTTTCTTTCTCTTAAACTTACCAGTCTCGTATTATATAACCTAACCCTCTTCATTTCCTTTCTTTCTTCTGTATTCATCGTTCGGCCAAAGGTACTTTTTGTTTGATAAAACTCTCCACTGTTTGAGTATTAGATTGTGGGATTTGTTTATTCATTTACAACATAGAATAGACTGCTGTACCTGGAAAGAGAACTTAGGATTGCATTTCTAATTCTCTTTTTCTAATAGGTTTAGATAAAGAGGATAGCAGTTTCCACGAATATTGGTGAATTCAGAGATTAAAATGGAGCCATATGCAAACTTGGTAACTAAAGTTTCGTTATGTTACTTTGGTTTTCAGTTTTTGTTCAAATGTTAGGTTTCATATATTGTGTCATTGCAGTGCTGTATTTTGAAGGTGAATACTCGTTGTAATGCATGTAAGATGAAGACATTGGAAGTCTTGAACTCCATTTGTGGTAATTAATTGTACTCTTTTTAATTATTTATTTTGATACTGAACTTCACTTAAATACTTGTTCGATTATCCTCTCATCATGCCCCTAGAGCTTGGGCTAAGACAACCTATCCATGGCCATGCTGGCTGAACTTTAGTCAATTTCTACACCTTTATGTTCACGGTGGATTGATTTTCCATCAAACATTATTAAGAGTTTGTATATCATATTTTGCAAGGTGTGTATTCTGTCACAATTAGCGCAGAAGAAGGGACGGCAAATATTATAGGTGAAGTAGATCCGAATCTATGTCTATCAGCATTGGTCAGAACCGGACAAAATCCGAACTTGTATGGGCCAAACTCGATCATCCAAGACTAAATAGAAGAAGTTATTACAACGATCCTTATAATTGTTCATACCAATCTAACCATGGTTATGAGTACCCTCGATATGATTCCCTAAATGAACCCTACGGGCACCGGAGCGCTTTGCCAGGAGGCATATGGCACAATTCAGACCAACACTATCCGTTGAGGAAGGCATTGCCTGAATATTCTTCCTACAACTCAAACTACTACTATGATGCTACTCCAATGGCTGCCGCCGGCAGGTATGTTTGATAATTTCGGAATATTCTCCCTACTTTGAAGATTATTTAAATTAGTTTTTGCAGTATAATGCGGCAATATCGTGACTAGTCGAATGCATGTGCAGTGCTTGCAGCCACTACTATTAAAGAATGAGGAGATTCCAAATTCATTTATAAGGTTCTCAAAGTCATCACATTTCAGTAGTTCGTATTGTGGAATTATACAGTATTTTTCTCCATTTTTTTTATTTTTATGGTTGATAGGGAAAAATATAATTTATTTCCTTTTGAGCAATTATGGGAATGACATTTGAGTTTGAATTAATTCGATATGTATGTTTGTTCGCATTTTTGTCATTCGTTAGGCCCAATATTGTGTCAGTGGGCTTATCTTCATAAATGAATTTGAATTTAGGCCTGCATTTCTTTGAAGCCCAATTACAGTATGTGGAAGACGTCACTCATGATAAGTTGAGCATATAGAGTTAAGTAATGTATAGACGAAGAATGAAATGATTTCAAAATAGAAAATTTCTCAAATGCTATTTTGAATAGAAAATTATCGACGGTAACATCATCTAAGTAATTCCAAACACGCTCTTCCTTTGAAATTAGGCACATTTGTTATGAATTTTCTCAATATTGGTACAACTAAAAGTGATAAGCGAATGTAAAGTCAATGCTTAGCTTTATGCTAATCGGAATGAAGCTATGATGAGATAAATTGTGATTTATATTTAACAAGTAATATATCAATATTATTATTGTTATTAATGAGACGTTTTAATGAACAATATCATATATTGTGGATGTTACTATGTATAGCCATTATTGAGGGTCACACAAGAGATAGAAAATTTGAATTTAAATGTTGATGTGATGGAAAACGGTTATATTTTTCATTTTAATGAGATGATAGTGTAGATCAAACGAGGGCTAAGTCGAACAAAAAAGTCGTCATCAATCACTACTTCCTCTCTCTCTCCGTGTGTGTTAAAAATGAAAACATAGACCAATTTATAAGAATTTGGGCTACTCATCTTAATAAGGTTGACCTTTTAAGATGGACCCCCAAATCTTAACAGTATTGCTACAAGTTTGATCATTCAAAACAAAGGA